ACACCAATAATGTGAGAAAGCTACAACAACTAAATTTATTGTTAAGTATCACATCACTGGTCCTCCTGGGAGTTCAGGAAGAAAGCTTAAATCACATTTCCTAACACATTGGAGAGCTTCCCAGAGATGTGATGGCCCACAGAGGCAAACCGTCCAAAGCACACTGGAATCTCAGAGATGGTGACAAAGAAATATTGCTTTGTTTAATAAAAGCAAATTGGAGTTACCCTTTTCTTTTCTTTTCTTTTCTTTTTTCTTTTCTTTTCTTTTCTTTTCTTTTCTTTTCTTTTCTTTTCTTTTCTTTTCTTTTCTTTTCTTTTCTTTTCTTTTCTTTTCTTTTCTTTTCTTTTCTTTTCTTTTCTTTTCTTTTCTTTTCTTTTCTTTTCTTTTCTTTTCTTTTCTTTTCTTTTCTTTTCTTACAAAGTACAAACTCTCTCTTACCCTATCTTTCTCCTTTTCTTCCCCCACCCCCTCCTGTTTCACCTGACTAAACTGTAGGCATTTGTTCCATCACCTGACTTAGGGGTTGGCTAGAAATATTAGAAAAAAACAATCTACCATTGTTACATGAGACAACAACCTTTCATGTCCTTGAAGCTCACCATGACCTTTCATCTTTCCTATCCCCAATGGTCTCTCCTAACAACTAAAACTACACTCAGTTGGGCTGAATTCCAGATTGTCATAAAAAGAACCCTGTCCTTTCAAAACAAAACCAATTTTTACACCAAGGTGGGGGAGAAACACAAGTCCATTGTTCCCTCACAGATGGAAGTTGGAGTTACTAAGGCAACTGCTCTAATCCTCCTTTTTACCACCTTTTTCACATCACTGGCCTATCAAGTATGCTACCTTTTAACTCATAAGCTCAAAAGCTGGTAGTCTAACTGGCTGCCCTAATTAGCTACGATTTTCACACTACAGACAACATGATGAGCTAATCGAAATTTGCAAAATAATGACGTACCTCCAGCAAATATTCCTCCTCCTGAGGCCCAGTCTTAGAATAACAATAATGAGACCATTATTAGAGAAGGGCATTAAAATGCTGCACTGCTGCTAAACAGAGAACTTAATTGTTCTGGTCTTGTCCATTGAATCAACAACCTATTGTTGTGGACTTGAAAAATAAAGGACTGGAGAATGGGGGCCATGATGATTGGTCTGGCGGCCATACCGGCACTCTGTGGAATTGTTTTCTTTTGAAACTCTTGATGGACTAGTAGTTTTGTTTAAAAGTAACATAAAAGGCGATTGTCTGGATAAAAAGTCCTATTTATTGAAATCCTTAGAAGCAGTTGCATGGATTTGTTCGTGACCCCTCAGATAAAAACATAGTGACCATAATAACACCATTTGTAGAAAGCCCTGTTACCACTGCCTACAGTAACATAAGATAAGAGACGGTCTTTTCTAGCTACAGTAGGAAGGAAGGAAGTACTTCTGAGCAGAAAGCAAGAATGATAAAAGGTCAAATACTGGATAAAACTCATTAATCTCTGAAAGAGGGACTTTTAAAAAATAATGCTAATTTAAGAATTCTGTACAATTGCTACAGGTTCAAGCACATGTAAAAAAGGCAGCCAGCCTTTCTTTTCCTTTCTTTTTTCCCCCTACTTTTGAGCTTCTTCCCTTTGGCTAAAATTTTTTAAAGTATTAAGATCATTATTATACAAATGAAGAAAGATGTCTTAAAATAATCTACAGAACAATAAACCCAATGGTTTCTAAATAATTATTCTTATGGTCATCCCTGGTCTATAGCGAGAATAATAAAACACTGAAGTTAAAGGTTAACTAGTGTAAGATTCTCAGCAGTAGAAAAGCACTGTTTACACACTGTAAAAGTGTCTTCTATGTGGAGCCACAGTACATGTTTTCTGTAAGTCAGATCAGGATTTTAGTGTTGAATTGTAGGGAGGAGATTTACTATTTTTGTTAGCGGGTATTTGAAGTGGGGTCTGTTTGTTTTTTACCAAGTGAATCTGCATTATATAAAAATGTATTAAATTGTAAATAAGACCTCTTGCTTCATTCAATCTGTGTTTTGCTTCATTTATCTTCATCTTGTTAGGCTAAATTAATTAACAATCTCACTGTTGCACACTTTCTCTTTTCATTACATCAAATAATGGCCCGTATATGGAGAAAGCCCTCACCCTGGGAATTCTGCAACTCTACTGCTAAGAAGAGTTTCTAAGTATCAGTGTAGCAATATTCATCTTATAAGCATTTAGTACATGCACTTTTCATTGTTAATAAGCAATTAAGCATCTAAATTCTCAATATTTTATCAGTAGAAAACTACTTTTTAAAATAAGCAAAACAAAACAAAAAGTTACATGGTACTTTATAAAGGAAAAAATACATATTTCACTTTGTATGTTCACAACCAGGCTTCACCATCTATTTCACCTGAAATAAGGGGAAAAAATGCATGCAAATTTGGCAAGTATGTTTTCACAGATACGACACTGCATAAAAGGTTAAAAAGACACGCCCTAAGCCTGTTCTACTCCTTGCGCTGGAATGTCTAACATGTGATAAATTGGATGATTAGAATTTCATTGGCAAATCCCATTATTTTGAATCTATAAGAGTGAAATGTGTTAAAGTCTTTTGTAAGTTTTCTTTTCAACCTGAAACACTGTGGCATCTGGAGTTATGCAAATGGACAAAACAGTAAAGCCCTTTTTAATCTTTTCCTTGATCAACCAGTGCTTCTTTCTCCAATCACAGCTTTGTGCGTGATATCTTTCTGCTAGCATTTCTTATTTAATTAAAACAGACACTGACAGAAGGACATGGATTAGTACTGTAATGATGCATTTACTTAGATTAATCGGAGGCTCCTTTTAGAGTAATGGCTTAAACAAAGAACAAAAGGAAATTGTTATGAAACAGCCTTTTATCCCAGGCAAAGGTCGCATTATGAGGTTTTTAATTTTGTCAGCTTCTGTTATACTCTGCCTTGCTAGTAAAACATGAGAAGTGCTTTTACCCCCAATAAAGCCAGTTATTATAAAAACAGCCATTAAAGCTGCAAATTAAAATGTCTGATTTTAAAACAGGTTACTTAGCTTTCAGAATCCTCTAATTAGCATGTTGTGCATTGTTGTGAGGAAAAGAAGACTAAAATGCTAATGACCTACCACCAGGTGACCACACTGCTGTGCAAGATAATAAGGGCCTTTCCGAGTCATATGATGAATTAACCAAGTCCAGGTTCTCCATCCAGCACCACTTCTCTGAGTACAGCTCTAGATGAACAGGGGGCCGTAACTGTCAAGATGTGTTCGAAAGCCTTGCCTCCGTCCAGAGGAGTCTCAGCCAATTACTTTTTATATAACCACTAAAAAGCAGGCTTCTTTCTACCACAAAAGAAAATACATGAAATAGCAATACTATAGAGAGAATGAAATTAGAAAAGACAACAGTCATGATTTCAAAGCACAAAGAAGAAATGAAAGAACCATGTCCCCAACAAAACTATCTTTTGCCCTCTTTTCAATCAAGCTGTTCCCGTCTTTAATAAATCGGTCTTGCAGAGTGTCAGTGGAGTTAAGATCTGAAAGCTCAGTCTTCATTCACAACATTCATTTTTAGACTTTGCCATGTTTAAACACCCCAAGGTAAATCAACTTTCCCTTTTCAGATCTTGTTTCCCCGTTTCATGGATTCCATTCACCACGCCCTCTCCCTAATCGAAAGTTGCTCTTGACAAAGGATATAGTGTCACTTGTGTTTCTACTATATGAATTGTATTCAATTACATGCCCTACTTACATTTTCTACCAAACCTCTCTTTATGTACTAGACGATTCAGTGCCATAAGGCTACCCTACATTAGGTGAATATATAAACTGGATGGGAGATGTTTTCTCCCCACGGAGAAAACATATTCCATTTTAAGTCTAGTTTCATGTAAGTATCACTAAATGGCTTGTTCTAGTAATTTCTTGAAACCAATGTCAAATAGATACTGTCATTGGAACAGCAAGAAATCACTCAGGATCATAAGTGACATTTGTCCAGTTATGTCCTTTGGAAGGGAAGTTATCTGAGGTTGTATCAATTATCTATGACCATAGAATGTTACAGGTTTGACCATCCCAAAACCTGAAAATCAGAAAAAGAAAACGGCACTACCTGAGAAGGTGTCCTAGGAATAAGATTAAGAAGCTAATTTTAAGCTTTGCAGATTCTCTGTTCTTGACCATAAGAACAAAAAGGCCAATGAAGAAAGTATCCATGATGACTGACCAATTTCCCAAGGGTATTCTGGCAAGGTCCCTACACATACTTGCAGGAAGATACCTAGAGCCAGTCTTTCTACTCGCTAACACTCATCCAGCAGGAGTAGGAGTGATTACTGGGCAGAATTCCTAAACCCTGTGGCAAAGGAAATACTATCCTATAGCACCACTCAACAATTATCCCTGTGAGCAATTAAAATAACCAGTAAAGTGGGTCTCCAAAAGGAGCCTTCAGCCATTCCTTCATTTGAGCCAGCAATGACAATGAGGGCTGCCAAAGCTGGCACTAACATCCGAGGAACAAGAAATAAAGGCCAGCAAAGCTCAATCTTGCATCCAAAGATATTAAAAAGGAAACGAAATGGCATAGAGAAAATTATTTTAAGAATTACCCAATTAATGGAGAAAAGAAAAAAGTAGCATAATAAAATCCTTTTCAAGTCCCTTTCACTTTTCCACATTCCTTTACAACTTATCTTAATAATAAGTTTGTTTTAAAGCAAAATCCTAAATGATGGCTTGCCCTTTACAAAGAAGGATGATATCAGAAAGAATGCAATTTGCACTGGTTTTCTAGTGTTTTGATCAACAAATTCTTCTCACCTGGTCTTTAGCAAGTTTCAATCATTAGAGCACTGATCCTAGGCCATGGAACAGAGCAAAGCCAATAGGTCCATATAAGGATCAAGACTAGCATTGTGCCCTCATTAACACTGGGTTCTAAACAAACAATAGGCCCATGATCAGAGAGCTGGATTAATTCTTCTCAGTGGAAGCAGTTTGGGTGTAACTCAACATTTCCCTTAAAAGTCTCTTTGCTTTGACAGAGAGGCAAAGAGAAAGAGAAACAAAAGTACTTGGATATCAGAGAAGGGCCACAG